TTTTATCTCACACCAGTTCTTTGAGTTTACGTGATGGTGGATAGATCATGTTTGAATTTATTCCCCCCCCCCCAATCAAAAAGGTTAGGCTGATTGTGACAACGTTTGAACTCTTTTGCCCTTGTGTCCAGGTGACTTCTCTTCAATGTAAAGATTACATAATTACTTCCTCTAACTCCTCACGTTGAATGTTGTGCTGCATTCTGTTAGGCCTCAATTTCTCCTCAGTTCCTTCCGTTGTTGTCAGCAGTTTCCCGCTAAATGCTCGGGGTGAAATTCTTGGAAGTTCTCAGGGCGAGCTACTGCTCATAAGTCTTGTAGTGAACTCCGTTGTGAAACCAGAGGCTCGCTAGCAATGCTGCCTGGAGAAAAGGGGGAGACAAGAGCAGCGCATATGAGAGCAGCCTGATGAAATTAGCAGTCTCCATGGCAACACTGGTGATGGGCACTTTCTACTCAAGTGCCTCTTCAGCAGTTTTGTTTTGTCTGCCTCTGTTCTTGCAATGTAACTTTTTCCATGATAAAAAGTAGAAGCTGTGATGAAGGGAACTGGACTGGTAAAATGGCTTGGACAGGTCAGAATGGCTTTTCTGATCAGCCTTAGCAGCTCACAGCTGCTTTTAAGTGAAGATTCAATTGTCCCAGGATCTGATCTCTGCATCACATTTGTCTGGGACCTTAGTGTGATCCTTTCGAATGCAAAGACTTGTCCCCTAGCCTAAACACACACAGCACACTTTTCTGAGCCATCCTGTTCTGAGTAGGTTAGTATGATAGCCTCTGTATTCGCACTCTCTTTGTGTTATCAATTTGATGCATTGGCACCAAACCAGAATGGGAGAATGTGTGGTATAGTGGTTAGAGTATCAGATGAGGATATGGGAGATCCAGGTCCTTACCTTTAAAGTTTAAATGTAAGACAGGGGTTTTTTGCGCATGCGCGAAGATCGCCATTCTATGGATGGCTGCCTATGTGCATGCGCAAACTAAGTTAAAAAACAAACCGACGATGAGTGTGGACGGGCGTATCGTGATGGGCTGAGCAGACAGGAGGTATGTGTGATCGCGTTTCAGCCGGCATAAACTGCACCGGCGCGTCTGAACGCACCCACTGAGTGATCTTGGGGCCGTCACTCTAATGGCCTAACCTACCTCACAGAGTTGTTGTGGAAGGAGGGCAGAAGATTATGGTAAGCTGCTTTAGGGTCTCTCCACTGTAGAAAAAGTCAGGATATAAATATCTAAACAATTAGATTCTCCCCCCACCCCCCACCCCAAAAAAATCTAGTTAACTTATTTGTTGGAAAGGAGTTGCACGGCATTTTTCTGTGCTTACCATTCGGTTCCTCCAGTCTGCTGGGGAACTGGTTGGATCCAAACAAGAGTCAGTTGCCTGGTGGTACAGCTTGTTGAGTGTGTGTTTGCTGAACCAGTATAACCGAGCCAGACCCGGAAGAAAGAAGACAGACAAAACTTGCCCAGACTTGTAATGCACCCCATTCCGCTGCCCTGTTGGAATCAAAGTGAGGAAGGTCAGATCTCTTGCTTTGTTACCTTCTTAATCTCACCAGCACAAGACTGGAGCTTTACTGCTTTACTGAAGGACAACAGATTTGGAGCAATAACTATGTGAACCAGAGCAGAGTCAGAATTCTGTCATTTTCAGCTCTTGGAGAGAATGTCAAGTGGAAAAGAACATCTTGTTATTGCAGAAGCTTGTTGAACTAACTGGTCATCCCATGATGGGAACACTGTTGTAGCAAAAGCACCTTGTCCTGATTCTGTGACTTCTAACCATCTATCTGTTACAGCTGTTTAGATTTAGATTCCTGTGATCCTACTGAACAGATCTTTCCACTTGAACTACACCATAGGGCATGTGTCTGATTTGTATTCATACATATGACATTTATTGGCAGATCTTCTTCAAAAATCCCTTGTATATGGTTTCTAGTTAGGCTTCCATCCAGACTGAGCTTGATTCCAGACCTCCTTAGTACTCGCCTTCTCACTGTGCCAGGTCTAGAGGGCACAATGCACTGCAGAAAGACAGGTATTTCATAGTGTTCAGAGTTCTGGGCTATCACAAGGGAGACCAAAGTTAAAACTCCTCTCTCAGCCTTGAAACCCATTGGGTGACCTTGTTCATTCGACTCTTATCTTAATCTGCCTGTGACAGCATTGTTGTGAGGATGAAATGGAGGAGGAACAGATTAAAATGTACCACCCTTTGTTGCCTTCAAGTGCAGCACAATGTAGAGTTCACTGCAGTAGTCAAAGGTTTAAACAAAGTAATATGGGTAGCTTCCCTCTGGAACCCCTCAAACTTGCTGCCTGCCAACCTTTGCTATCTATCTGGCACAACTGCCTTCAAAACTTTTGTTTCTAAAAGTTGCTATTACTTTGCTCTATTTCTATTTCTAATTCATTTCCCCCCCCCAAAAAAAAATGAAGCTGTGGGATAACTTTGGTGTTCCAGGATAAAAACCAAGAAATGTTCAGTGACTCATTCGTATTTATAGTAACTTTCCCCGACATCACTATATAAGATAGAATTCATTACACTTTACTTCCTTTGATCCTGGTGCTTGACATCATTAACGGGACCAAAAAGTAGGATGCTGATAGCATTTAGGATGTCTTGGTTGTGGTGGCACTACGTAACAATTCAAAAGCCAATAGTAGCTGGAGTGTGGCTGGAGTGCCAGGCCTTGATGCATATTGAACATAATGGGATTATAAAAGGTTTTTCACCTCTGAATCAGGATTAAACAGGTGAGTTCTGAAGAAAGGCATAATTTCACCAGGGGATTCTCTTCCCCAGCCGACCTTGCAAAAAGTGGAGGAATACTGGGCAAATTATGACATCTAAAGACTGTAAGCCTGTTCAGAAGTTGCATTCATCTGTTCATAACAACCAACATGCTTTCAGTTTACAATTGAGACCAGGGACCAGTACCTGGATAAATGTGGGGTTTGTGTTACATGTTCAGCTGTATGTCCATTGATTGTAACATGAGAACCGCTCAACACACTTATAAAGGAAAATCCAAGTGCAGAGTATACAGAGACTATATGTGTGTTCACTGTAACTTGTGAGCAGGGTTTAAGTTCTTCCTACCACCAAAGCTGAATCTAAACTAAGGTGATCTCGTTTGGTATGTGTGCTCTGTTTTTAAGAGAGAAGTTAAAACTGACTGGCTTTGTGCTGTTGACTCCGGAAGCCAGAGGCATGAGGAGAGAAAGCAACATGCCACATCATAATTTGAGGCTCTGGAGTACATCATTAACATCCTTCATCTTTATAAGATTGTTCAGTGTGCACTGGTGGAATTTACAGGAGTAATGGTCGCAGACTCTGGTAATAATAGGTTCCTGTGAGTCCTTCTTGCTTCCATCTGCCTGGTAGACCTATCACTTGGGATATAATAAAGTATGTGTTATTGTGGCGTACATCTGAAGAGGGCACAGTGAAGTGTGAACAAGCGGTTCTTTTTGTGTTGTGGAACAAGATACCAACCACCCTTCATAAAGTCCATACCTGCTTCCCCCTAACATCTACTTATTCATCAATAATTTAGGGCTGTGATTTCACCAAAACAAATACATACTCGTACATAACCTTCCCATTCATTTACTTCTTCTGGGATGGTAATTTTTTAACCTCAGGAGACTAATGCCAGAGTACGTGGTTTGACATGACAACTGATCCTCCTTCATAAGAGCCACAGAGTCCTCTTCTATTTTGACCTTACAAATTGAACATAAAGGTATCCAGATAGTAATTTGTCCCACGAGTGGTTTCATGGTGTGGCTAGACCATTAACATTCATGGTGTGGCTAGGCCAGACAGTGGGATGGGGAAAGGGTAGCATTTCCATTCCCCCAAAATGTACAAAATAACATGGCATCATACACTCTTCAGGCCGCTGCTATCCATAGTGAACTTTCTGGTCCTCAGACTGTCACAACAGGGACAACTTTTGAATTGGCTTGTGAAATGAAGGCAGTGTTCAGCTGCTCATTCTGCAGACCAAATGAGTAGGTCATAGACAGAGGCAGTCCTTAAGTCTGATCATATGTGGCCCGAAACAATTCTGTTTCTATGACCTAGAGGTGCTTACAAGATGCATTTGGGGAAAATATTTGTCAGCCGTGCTTAACTGGTGTGCTATTTAGAATTATGTTTTTATGAATTGTTTATATATATGATTTGAATATTTCTTGTATACCTTAGTGAGTATTTTAGTAGGGAAGCAGTTTAGAAATACACTAAAATAACCTAAGTTATCAGAGGGCCAGGCAACTAGTTGAAGACTTTTCCTGGCCATTAAATAAAATGATTACCAAACTTGTATATGAAATATATCTAAAACTAAGGTTCATATAAAAGCTGACTGGTGCAACCTGGATAAAAAGAACGTTAGAGTGTGTGATGTATTGTGTTGTATGAATGAATTTTGGTTGGTTCGTGGTTTGTGAAGCCATGTTTGTGAACTGAAAAGCCACCAAATCTTCCATGAATTTTGATGCAGTTCATGGTGGTTCATGAAGAGCAGAAAGCAGGGGTTGAAATGGCTCTGAGCAGTTCGTGCAGTTTGTGCCCATCCCTATGTATGAATGTTCCATGGATGTTGCTAAACAGACTTTCTGTGAAGATAAAAGTGGTATAGACATTATTTTAAAAAAAATAGGTGGCATCACTGTCTTTCTTTTTTCCTGTTTTCTAGATTGGAGAGTCTCTGACTGAATGCTTTTGGTAATGTCTTTGCCAACATCTCTACACAGTAGCCAAGGAACTTGTTGTGTGCTAACTTCTCTGTAGTTTGGTTCTTCTGTGATTTGTAAGACATGTGTGTCAGCTACGCCTTTATTCGTATACCTACAAACATCGGTTCCAAGTTTGTGTGGATGATAAGATGGAAAAATGGCAACAGTCAAAGAGTTAGCAGGAAGACTTGGGGCATTTTGCGTCTCTGATGTCAGCATTTTTTGCTGTGATGGCACATAATGAGACTCCAGCAGACGATTTTGGTAACCTGAATGTGAGCACCCAGTTCACAGGCTTCAGTTCCACAACCTTACCTCCGCCTCTCAGGATTTTAATGGCCATAATAATGCTCGTCATGATTGCCATTGGCTTCTTTGGCAATGCCATTGTCTGCCTCATTGTGTACCAAAAACCAGCCATGCGTTCAGCCATCAATCTGCTTTTAGCTACTTTGGCCTTCTCTGATATCATGCTGTCTTTGTTCTGTATGCCTTTTGCTGCCGTTACCGTCATAACAGTGGACTGGAACTTTGGGACTTACTTCTGCCGACTCTCAGCGATGCTCTACTGGTTCTTTGTTTTGGAAGGGGTCTCTATACTCTTGATAATTAGTGTGGACCGATTCCTTATCATTGTGCAGCGACAAGACAAACTGAACCCTCATCGTGCCAAAGTCATGATTACCGTTTCTTGGGCCTTTTCCTTCTGTATCTCTTTTCCTTCGTTGGTTGGGTGGACATTTGTAGAAGTCCCAAGCCGGGCTCCCCAGTGTGTCCTGGGGTACACAGAGTTTCCCGCAGACAGAGCTTATGCTGTGACGTTAATTGTGGCCGTTTTCTTCATCCCTTTCAGCATCATGTTGTATTCTTACCTTTGCATTCTGAATACCGTCCGCCGAAATACTGTCAGGATCCACAACCACGCTGAGAGCATGTGCTCGAGTCAGGTGAGAAAACTGGGCCTGATGGGGCTACAGAGGCCTCACCAGATGAACGTTGACATGAGCTTCAAGACCAGGGCCTTCACAACCATTCTCATCTTGTTTGTTGGCTTTTCCCTCTGCTGGCTTCCCCACACAGTATTCAGCTTGATGTCTGTGTTCAGCAGACAGTTCTATTATAGCCCCTCATTCTACATCACCAGCATCTACGTGTTGTGGCTGAGTTACCTCAAATCGGTGTTCAATCCTGTCATCTATTGTTGGAGAATCAAGAAGTTCCGTGAGGCCTGTCTGGAGTATATGCCGAAAACATTAAAGCTTTTTCCTAAAGTGCCTGGACGAACAAAAAGGAGAATAAGGCCAAGCACAATATATGTCTGTAGTGAGTATCAGTCTACAGTTTAGGACCAAACCGGGAGTATGTTTAGGCAGAAACAGAAAGCCTGAATTAAGCCGCCGCCTGTTTCTTTCCTCACTACTCTTCTACTGCCATCCTGCAATGCTGTCTTTGGTGTTGCCAGCAGAGAACATTTGAAAACTTTCATATTACTGGTTCAGTAACAGCACATCTAACAGTAGTCTGACAGTAAGGAAACCGAAATCCTGAACAAAATATTCTGCCAGTAAATTGAATTCTGTGCCATTCTGGGTTTTTTCCCCTAAGTGAGAAACCCAACAAAATCAACGTTACCAGTGGATGGCATACTGTTCAGCTTAGTAGGCTGGATCCTGCTCTGTGATGAGACTTGCTCCAATGGAGGAAGCTTCCATTGCTGCCACCAGTCTCCTCACTTGGTAGAAGTCCTCAGATCCAGCCCACTTTCTGTGAACTTCCATAGGTCAGAACCCTCTTCTTAAGGCCAGTGCACGGTGCAGAACGTTGCGGTGTCTGAATGCTAGAGAATGTGCACACATCTAGGCAAAAGTCTCATAGACAGGGGTGCAGCTCTGGGGAGTTTTAACGAACTTCCTTTTGAGATAAGAGAAAATGGAGCCATGTGCCAAATTTTATTTCTTTCAGTGAAAGCTAGGTACTTCAGCAGGCTGATGCCTTTTGAGATTAACAACAAATGACCATACTCCAGCAAAGGCAAATTATGACAGCCTCACCAGACTAATGGGGGAGTGTACATATTTACTTTGAAGTGAGGGTTTAGTTACTCAACCATCTCAGTGTAGACTTTGCCAAAGGACGAGACTCAAACTGCACAGAGTTCCAGGTCCAGCAGTGCATGTAGAGAAAAACCTTCTTGGTGCCAGCCAGCCCACCCACCTTTCAATATATCAGAAGTGGGGGGGGAGTAGTCCACAGAAAGGAAACCATTTGACTGAGCCCGAGATGCCATTAAGTTCAGTGAGATGGAATACTTAGGTAAGAATGCTGTGGACTGACACTCTGAGTAGTTAACTGTATGCTTTAGTTTGCAATTCCATATGCACCAGCACCTAGGTAGAAATCCTATTGAAAGTGAAGGCACTTGTTTTTAAGAGCTGGCTGTTAGTTACACTGATTTCAGTGGGACTTAGTCCAACTAACTTTTGTTAGATTGCATTCTCTTTTTGGGTTTATTTTTGTAGCTATATCCTTCATAAGCCACAATTCACATCACACATACTACTACACATTTGGCAAGATTTAACGAATTTATAACAGTGTTAATGCTCCTCTATAAAGGTGCAAACATATCGGTAGACAAGTATGACAAATACTTAAATGTGTTATTTTAAAATTAGAAAGCAGGGACAAATGTATACATACAAGACTACTCACAATAATATGTGCTACAAGGTTCTACAATAAATTAAAGATGTAGTTAACATTTGTCAGTGTGGTGCTGTTTTGTTTGCATGGTTGCCAGTTTTCATTAAAACTACAACTTTTTTGTCTTTCTTTTGAGTCCACATTGAGTAATGTGGTAATATAGTCATAAAGGCATATTCAGCTAATTTATCATTTTGTTGTCCCCCATTATAAATGTTATCTTATTTTGTACTTATTAGGATAAAGAAGTCTTCCTGTTACCACATAATTTATTTCATACTCTTTCTCCAGTGAGAAAGCTTCTGTGGTAGAGTGGGGATTTGAACCTGGGACTCCCAGTTTGTAGAATGATACTATAACCACTAAACACCACTGGCCCTCAGTGGAAGATAAAAGCTCTCTATAGGTATTCTTTATTGTTTTCATGTGTACTAATAATCGGAGGTTCAAAAGACATTCACCCCGAGATTTGGGCTTGCATCTAGCAATGGGAGAATGGAAAGTAAAATGCCATTACAGTTCTACTTAAAAGTAGTGCATAGGGCTGCCAAGTCCCCCTGGGGGGCGGATTTCCCCCCGCTTTGGAGGCCCGATTTCCGCCGCCGCGGAATCAGGCCCCGGGGGAAACCCCACCCCAGCGTGCACGTCAGCCGGATGTGACGTGATGACGCCGGGCACGCTGGGGGCGGGGCCACAGCCATTTGAGGGGGAAACTCTGTTTTCCCCTCAAATGGCTGTGGCCCCGCCCCCAGCATGCCTGGCGTCATCACGTCACATCTGGCTGACGTGCATGCGGCACGCGCGTGAGCTGAAGACACTGTCCGGGAGCCCCCCGCCGCAGAAGAAAAAGGACTTGGCAACCCTAGTAGTGCATCAGTTGCTTAAAGAGCAAAAAAATGTTCCCCCAGATGTCTGGAATGATTTTATTTTATTTTTAATCGTATGGGAAGAAATTTCTTCCACAATGTCCTGTGCCGCGGGAAGAGGAAGTAGGGACACAATTTACTAGGCAAACAGCCAGAAGCCATTTTAGCACTTCCTCTTGCGCAAAGCCCGATGTGCATGAGCAAATCTTCCATGAGTTCCAGCCCTTGTTCTCCAGTTCACCCAGAGCAAGGCAATTGAAAGGGTATAGTTATGGGAAAAAATCAGTTTCACATTGAAATGCATTCATTTGGATAGTGAATGAATGACATCTGTGCGATAGTAAATCAGAACACAAGACTTAACTAATAGCTGAGTTTCCAAGTTTTCTATTGCTGGTCCACTATTCCATTTTCCTCCACTGCGCCTTTATTTTTTTGTCTTACTACGAGTTGTATTGGTACAGCTTGGAAAAAAACAGCTGTAGAAAAGGGCTTCTAGTACAAGCTGAATGTGCCTTCATATGCCCAAGGAAGTATATGCCCCGATTTCCAAGGATTGTCTCCTTGCCTTGCTGCAGGCCCACATCTCAAAGCCTGTGCCCTTCAGGAGGACTGCAGCAGAAAGGAGGCAGGTGGCAAGCCCTCTTCCATGCCAGGAACTCCACGCAAACATCATTCGTTCCATGACAGAATCTGAACAGCTGGGCCTGCCGTGGCTGATAGGTTTCGTTTTGATTTGGAAAGGGCTGAGCTGGAACTCCCCTGTTCTAATTTGCTATTTCAGGAGGGAGCAGGGGATTTTTAAGTAGTGGATTAATAATATCACCCTCCCCGTGCACTCTGAAGTGAGACATCCCATTTTACCCCTTGTAGTTCAGGCAACCGAGCCCGTCAAGTTCAATAGCATTTAATCCCAATTTAACTTAGATGTGATGCATAAGGTCACTAAAGTAAAGGTAAAGGTTCCCTTGCTCGAAAGCCAGTCGAATCCGACTCTAGGGTTGCGGTGTTCATCTCCGTTTCAAAGCCGAAGAGCCAGCGCTGTCCGAAGATGTTTCCGTGGTCATGTGGCCAGCATGACTAAACACCAAGGCGCACAGAACGCTGTTACCTTCCCACCGAAGTGGTACCTATTTATCTACTTGCAATTTCTTGCTTTCTAACTGCTAGGTTGGCAGGAGCTGGAACTAGAGACGGGAGCTCCCTCCATCATGCAGCACCCGGGTCTCGAACTGCTGAACTACTGACCTTCAACAGCCTGCAGTTCAGCGTCTTAACCACTTGAGCCACCGCAGTTCCTAAGGTCACTAACACAGATGTAAAAAGGTGGCGTGCAGATCCAGAACCTCTTCTCTGTATCTAGTTCAGAGGTCCCCAGTTTTTTTCTGCTTGCAGACCCCTTTGGAATTCTGGCATAGGGCATAAACATTAAATGGCTGCTTTTTATGCTGCCTTTCCACCCAGTTAGAGCCTACAAGGCAGCAAACATAAAAACGTTTAAATGATTCAAGTACAGTTAGAAAGAAATCCGATTAAAAACACATGAACACCACTAGAAGGTGGGCCAGTAACCATTGCTGGGGGTATGCCGGTCAAAACAAAGAAGTCTTCACCTGCTGGTGAAAGACTTGGGTAAGGGAGAAAGACTGACCTCCCAGAGGAGTTCCAAAGTTTTGGTGCCACAGCCAAGAAGGCCCTTTCTCAGGTTGCCGCCCGCCAAGCCTCAGATGGCAGGGACAACCAAAGCCTCTGAAGATGACCAGAGTGAGTGGGTAGGTTCATGTGGGAGAAGGCAATTCTTAAGGTACGTTGGTCCCAGGCCATACAGACCTCTAAAGGTCAATACCAGGACCTGGAATCGAACCCAGAAACAAACTGGAATCCAGTGTAGATGGAACAAGACTGGAGTGATGTGGTCCCTACAACCCGCTCCAGTCAACACTCTGGCCGCAGCATTCTGGTCCAACTGTAGCTTCCGAACAGTCTTCAAGGGCGGCTCCACACAGAGCGTATTACAGTAATCTAATCTAGTGTTACCAGGGCACGCAGCACAGTGGCAAGATTTTTTTTCCAGGAAGGACCACAGCTGGCTTACCAACTGAAGCTGCTGAAAGACTACTGCTGCCCCTTGTTTATCTAACAGGAGACCCAGGTCCAAGAGCACTCCCAAGGTACAAATCTGCTCCTTTAAGGGGAGTGCAACCCCCATCCAGAACAGAGGATAACCCATTACTGCAGTCAGACCTTCCCTCATCAGTAGCTTGTTAGCCCTCATCCATTCCAAAATGTCGGAGAGAGAGGTTATGCATATGTCTCATGGTAACGCTTCAGTATCTCAGGCAGAAGTTCTGCTTAACGGGATGCCTTTTAAAATGAGCGTATTCTTGAAAAACATTTTCTTGCAGACACACAGTTCTCTTCCGTCATGCAGTGAAGATCCTTGTGCTGTGACGGCATCCGTTGCCAAGGCAATTTTTAAAAAATCTGCACAGCCACTCTCCAGTGGCCACTCAGAAGGCCCCGATGGCAGAAAGTCCCACCCGGCCTCCTCAGCTTTCTAAAAACTCTCAGGCACCCACGGGAAGCATGTTGGGGACCCCGATCTAATTTAATAAATATATTGATTGGTTTATCTTCTTTACCTGCCATCTGAATAGAACCAGTGCCTTAGAATCAGTGCCAAGTATTCCCTATGGGTCCATTGGCGTAGTGTGCTCCGTGATCTTCAACGAAACGAGGAATACTTAATCCCTGCAATAACCTAGGGTCGTTTTCTCTTTTGTTCATTGTGGGCTGCTTGCCAAACGTCAGAGTTAATTTTTATCCTACAAATACTCTATGCAAATTAAAGCTGCAGGAAGCAAGCACGAAGAAAATCAGGTTGGCAGATACCATGCTATCCAAGTGTGTCCTAGCACGAAGCCTAGGAACTACATCAAACTGACCAAAAGGTTTGTTCAAGATGAGCGTCACAACTTAGAAATAAGTTCTGCTCGCAGCTCCCTATCTGCTGCACTACCTACATAGTTAAGGTAAAGGTTTCCCTTGCTCGAAAGCTAGTCGAATCCGACTCTAGGGATGTGGTGCTCATCTCCTGTTTCCAAGCTGAAGAGCCAGCGCTGTCCAAAGCCATTTCTGTGGTCATGCGGCTGGCATGACTAAACGCCAAGGTGCACAGAACACTGTTGCCTTCCCACCACAGCAGTACCTATTTATCTACTTACAGTTTCTTGCTTTCAAACTGCTAGGTTGGCAGGAGCTGAGGCCAGAGACAGGAGCTCACTCCATCACATGGCACTAGGGGTCTCGAACTGCCGAACTACAGACCTTCTGGTCTGCAGCTCAGCTCAGCGTCTTAACTTCTAAGCCACCGTGGCCTCTACACTACCTGCATAACAAGTTGCTGAAACCGCAGGTACCATGCAAATTGGTAGAAATGGCTTTCCATCTGGGGGGAGGGGGCTTCAGCTGTGTATGACTTTTTGGAGGATGGTGCCTCCCCCATCGCCTGTTACTCAAACAGGCAGAATTGCTCCCATCTCCTCACCATCTTATTATACAAACACCTACATAAATATGATTTGTTCTGAAAACAATTATACAAGGTATCCTATTGATTTGGGACAATTATTCAAATCAATTTCATAAAAAAGCAAGCGAAAGAAAGTGTTACTCAGTATTTAGTTGGAAGGACATCAAGAGGCTTGCAACATCTATCTTTGAACTGTCATGTGGGGGGGAAACACACACACACCCATAGCAACAAACTGGACTGAGCAGGAAGTGGAAGCTGAGAGCAAGGAGCAGACTCTTGTGTTGCTTCTTCAACTTGAAGGTACATCTTTCTAAGGCCAGAAAAATGACCTCTGGAAACCTTGAGAAATACACCCAACGACCTGATTAACAACCCCCCCCCCCCCCCCCCAGCGGTTTGGACATAAAATGTGAATCTGGGTTTTTGTTATTTAGGAAAAATATAACTCAAGCAAACAACTTAAAGCTCTCATTGTTGAGTTCTCCCCTTCTCTCACTGTGTCAGTGACGCTTCTACTACTCAGTTAAGGGGTGTGGAAAAGAAGGCGCCCTCATAGTATCTTTTACTCTTGGGCTGTGGCACGGAGAAGAAGCTTAGCACACAGCTTCAGAATTCATAGAGCATTTATTAAGTATGATCAAGCTTATCAGCACTTCAGGATGCAACTACTGATGTCTGTATTGTACCCTTAGGCCCCACCCCCACCCACTTGGTATGACCCAAGGTCCACCCCTGCAACGCAGATCAGAGGCACCATTCCCACCCCCCCCCTTTTGCAGGAAAACATGAATTGTGTTGTCAGGTGTAGAACCTACACCAAAAGCTATACCTGGAATGACCGGTTACGTATTTTTGCTCTAGAGAACTTTTTGAGATATAAAACCATTTCATTCAACTGTATTTACAGAACACCTGTATGATAATAAATAAATCATTACATTTTATTAAAGCCTCATCCTTCAACCCATTCCCGCCCCCACCCCAATGGTTTACAGTTCCATATAACAGGACTATGAATTTGGGCGGCATTCTTGTGATTAGTGTCAGAAAAAAGGTGTAGGGCTCTTCACCGCCCCCGCGCCCCCCCGCCCGGTGCTGCCATTGTCCTGCTTCCCTTTAACTTCCGAAATGAGCAGGAATTACCCAGAGTCAGTGCTTTTGTACGGTCTGTAATAAATGGCAGAGAAGGCAGGCGTACAAAGGCTCAAAAGTGCATCGAATCCCAATAGTATGAAGAGCACAGAACAAAAGTTCACGATGCCGCATGGCAGGCAAAATTTAAATCCACAACTGCGTGTCTGTTCTGCTCTCAAGAAAGTGCTGCTTCATACCATTTATTCAAGAGAGAGAAGCCACCCCCATCCCCCCCCCAAATCAACTGTGTGGCGAAAAGTTGTCTTTCCTCTTCAGCCCCTCTTCTTCCAACGCCAGTCGATCACCAAGTTCAGTGCAAGGTTTAATTTTATGAGGGTATGTTGGCTCCCTTCCCCTCCCTAACATCTTTACTGCATTTGCTTATTACGTGATAAAGAAAACAAGTTTGCAATTTCTTGTGCCGTCTACATTCACAAAAAGGATCAGCAGGTTTAAGTGGCCCTGTTTCACATTGACTCAAGTCTTCTTGTTATTCCCCGGGGCAATCTCATCTCTTCCGCTTGCCGTTGTGTCCAGCTGACTCTCTCTGGTTTCCCCAAAGGGCAACCACTCCAGCACCCTGGCACCCTTCCGGGTACATTTCATGTCCTTCCGCTGGGGCTGGAGAAGTGGCGGTTTGTGTTGGAAGTCACAAGTCTGCCTGCAGCACAGTGGGTGTGGACCACACTGCCATTCGGGTACCTGACAAAGGCAGGCTCACAAAAGGGAGTCTGACACACCTGGCAGAGTTTTCTGTCTGACAGAACAGTGGTGTCTCCTTTTAGTTTTACCTGTAAGGCAGGAGAAAAATGAAAAAAAACATCATTGCAAATCGACACAAGAACCGGCACAGGCTAGAAGACTTTCTGTCAAGTCAATCATTATTTGTGGTGCACCCTAGTTTCAGGCATATTCTTCAACTTGGCCAAAACTGATCTACCATTCCTTTTCCCAGGGAAACCTAGGGTTTTGAGAGACAGACAGACAGAGGACAAACAAAGGCCTCTGAATACTCTTCCCAAGCTACAATTCTGTGGATTCTTTGGAAGAGCCATGACAAGTAGTGTGCTATACAGTCTCACATAATGTAGCTGTGGTATGCCCTTGGTCAACAGGTGGTGACTTATTCATATGAACGGTTTATACCCCACTCTTGGGAGGGGGGAGATAATCTTCCCACTGTTGTTGCAAAGGATTTCATCCTGACCAGTTACTGAATGGCCTCTATCAATCACATCAGGATCTGTACGTACAGCTCTAGGCACCAGGTTCACAAAGGACCTGCCTGAAGGCCTTCTGGTAATGTCCTGAACAGTAAGATTCCTGAAAGAAGAGTTCCTGGGGTTTTTTGTTTGTTTGGTGGTATGTTAGATTCTTAACTCAACTAGAAACTCATCTTTCCAGCACAGCTTTGGATGTATCCTTACAGCCCTCACATCAAACAGCTGAGACTCCTATTCATGGTGCAGACTCTACACATTTGGTGCATGGCCATTTTATAAACAACGCTATAGGAAAAAAAGATTCCTTAGGCAAACTGAAATTACAGAAAATCGGTAAACAGGTATATTTATTTCATGTATAGGTATTATCAAAGTACTTCGTATTGCAAGCACTAGAAAACAAGTATTCAAATCCCCTGTTGTTGTTTTCTTGTTTGCTTTTTTGCAAACAGAGGGATTTGAGGCAAGGACATATGGGATGGAGCAAAGACATAGCCACCATCAGTGGGCAGGGTATGCATTGGAAACAGGGCCTTGCACAGAAGCCCCACATTCTAACACACGTGTTTTTGAAGGTTTCCTCTATAGTCTAAATCTCAGCTGCTTTGCACACAATATGAAAGCTGTTACAGGGGATGCAGGATTATTCCTCTTTCCATGCTGTGTACGAAAGCTAGCTACGGAATACTAACGTCTTCCCCACATCCTACTCTTGCACTTTCGTGGTTAAGCAGTAGGTTACATAATGCACAAAGAAAGCTGTTAAGCCACCATAGTTCAACTGGCTCACTTAATGAACTATTGGGATGCCTTTGCCACCTTCGGCATACATAGTATGCAGCAGAAGAATGGAAACTGCCCCCTAGCAGATTATCAAGTGCATAAGAACCAAGAAAAAAATGGAACACGATCCTTCCATCAGGCCGACAAAAATTCCTGGAGACTATTAAGAGATTGCAGCACGCTCATACAATGGACAAACCGGTATTGCTCACCTTCTCGTGCTTGTAAATTAAGTTCTCGGCTTTTGCCAATCCCAGTGCAATCTGAGACATTCTCTGAGAATGGATACTTTCCCTCATTGCTCCAGCCAGGAAAGAGGAGAGAAGCTGCACTGACCAGCTGTCAGGGAGAAGCCGCAAAACAAGGGCAGCATCAAAGTCAGCCGCATGACTGTTTAGGAGATCCACAGCAGCCATGACCAGTTCATGTTCTGCTGAGCTGGAATTCAGGTATGCTGTAAGCAGCATATGGAACAGTTTCTGTCGGTAAAGAATGCCTCTGTTCTTGGAATTCCACACACAGTAGTCCTCGGCAGCAGCAAAGTCCTTCAATACGTGGACGAGGATATGTAAAGCTTTGTCGTGCTCTTCCAGTTTCCCATACAATATTGCACACTCCATATGAAGATCTGAGCCACTGATTTTATCTGCCAAATGCAAACACACTTTAAACAAAGTCCTGGTCAATGCAAAAAAGAAAAAGAAAAAAAAGAACACTAAACCCTTCTCTTATGCCAGGCATCATAAATAAAAGGATAATTGAAAGTGAATTGCTAACCCCAGGAGTTAAATGTGAGAAAGGATTTCCCCACTTGTTGGTAGTTGGTGAGCTGCATGTAGAATTCTGGGAACCTTGTTAGACTAATAAATACAACAACCAGGACTCAAACAGTCCATTACATAAGCAGAAAGCACTTCAATGTGTACACTGGCAAAGTGCTTACAATTCTCCACTCCCGCCCCTTCGTATCTCTCTGTAATGCACTATAGGTCACCAGGATCAGTGTACCTGGAGTACCTGGAAAAGTTTTCAGATAACAAAAAAAGCCTCGCTTTAGGGGGAAATCGCAGTCACTTCTGTGTAGCAGGATGCAGAACTATGTGTTCGGAGCCCAAACATGTCATGTAGTATACCCAATTCCCATTACCCTTCCATTTTAGTAAAGAAGTGAAAAGACTGTGGGATTCAGGCAATCAATTACTGTTTGGTGGTGGCCACAGGGCCTACATTAGATAGGGAATTGCCAGATTCACCAGGATGTTGGACTGATTATTTTAGAACTGGAATCAGCTAAAATGGAGCAGAAAAGAGCATCAGTGCAAGCCATTTAAAGTGACCCCGCTGCAAACCCTCCACGTCTTCTTTTCCTTCCATTCCATTTCTGTACAGAGCAGGTAAAACTTGGTGTTGTGTTATAACAATGTTAGTTAATTTACCTAAAATAAAGCGAGTCCTATAAAGGTCAGATTCTCGCAGGAGACTCTGCAGCTTCGCCTTCGTTTCAAACAGCTCTTCGTTCCTTTCTGCCTCGAGCGATTTCAGGTTGAGCACTTTCTCCAGGTACAGCACCGCTAGGTGGGTGTGGTACTTTTCCTTCTGCCAGTATGAAACAGACAAGCCATTCATTCCAGATCTCCAAAAGCAATGTCGCTAGTAAAGTCAACAAAATGAGCGCTTACGACACATAACCAAATTAAAGTGTAAGCTTCCATGTGCAAAGCACACTTCTTCAGACAATTTGGAATAAAATCTCAAGGGCTACTTACAGGAGAAAGGGGGGGCAGCCATTAGGAGGGGCCACTCAGAGCCAAGATGCCGATGCTGAGCTGAAATTGGGTCAGGTAGCTCTGCAGAGGCATCTTGGCTATGAGTGACCCCCCTCCTAATGGCTGCCCCCCCTCTTTTTTCCTGTAAGTAGCGCGCCGGCAGCACGTCACAGGAAGTGACGTGCTACGTGCTCACGTTGGGGGCGTGGCTCACATTGTCGGGGGGGAACCATATGGTTTTCCCCTGACGATGTGGGCCACGCCCCCAACGTGAGCGACGTGGCTGTATCACCTCTGGTGATGCAGCTTCGGGGGCGGAGTTCCCCCCGGGGCCGATTCTGCCGCGGCGGAAATCGGGCCTCCGAAGCGGGGGATTCCCCGCCCCCATTTGGCAACCCTAAAGCGGAGCCATGCTAAGTCAGTTTATGTTTCCATTTGTACATTGCTGGATCCAGGCCGCTGTGTGTGCCCCACCTAAAAGGCCAAAGAATACTCTTGTGGGGTTGCGGGAGTTTCCAGGCTGTTCAAAGGCAGCCAGAGAATAGGATGGGCCTACTTCAGCCATCTACCCTTCAGCAAGTGCCTCAGCAAGTGCCGCAGCAACTAACACCAGGACAGATGTGAGTGATCCAAGAGCAAATATTGTTATAATGTGAATTACAAACATCACTTTTGTTTGCTTTACGTGCACATCGTCACCTTCCAGCTTCTTTCCTCTGCTAAATAGAGTGGAGTCTGAGGGGACAAGCAGGAGGAGTCAAATTTCCAAGCTTGCCAAAGGCTCCTCAGCAGGGGTCTAGAGAACAACCTGGTATTTGAGGCTATGGAGAATATCAGACCAGTGTGAAAGCTCCACGCACCAATATCTGTTTGGATTTGACAGAAACCACCCCTATCCCCCCAAAAAAACTTACCTGTATTCTTCTTTCTAGGACTAAAAACTCTAAGTATTTTACTAGTGATTTGGGGTATTTGTTAAGGCAGCTCATGACGTCGTCTGGGTTAAAGCTGTTATCCTGTCCTTCTTCCTGCGGCCTTCTAGTAAAAACGTATATGCCAATCTAAAACAAGACACATTTCAGAAGTCAATGACTATATCTGCATAAGCGATGGACATCACTCTCGCTCACAAGTTGACCGTTACTACTCATGCCTCACATTCTTCAATTTGCCAAAGGATTACTATTCATTACTTTTTATGCCCACCCTGCCACCGAGTACCTCAGGATGGTGTAAACGGTCCTCCCCCTCCTCCATCTTTACCCTCCCCAAAAACTGTGAAGTAAGTTAGAATGAGAGAGCGTGATAATAAGCCCAAGCTCAGCCAGCTTGGTGTAGTGGTTAAGAGTGGTCAACTGTCATCCAGAGAACGGGGCTTGATTCCTCCCTCCTCCACATGAAGCCTGCTGGGTGACCTTGGGTCAGTCACAGGCAGCTCTCTCAGAACTCTCTCTCAGCCCCACCTACCTCACTAGGTGACTGCTGTGGGGAGAGAGGAAGGGGAAGGAGATTTTAAGCCCCTTTGAGACCACTTAGGGTAGACAAAAGTGGAGTATAAAAAAACAACTCTTCTTCTTCTGTGAGTTGAATGGCTGAGTGGAGATCTGAACCTCAATCCAGCCCACACACCCACAAATGTGTGGTGTAGTGGTTTTAGAGCGTGTCCACGTGTGTGCCCTCTTTTAGCTCTACACTAATGAATGGAAATGGATCTTAGGGGCTACTGTGCAGCAATTTACTTTTTCAGTTGGGGAAAAAGCACAACATTCCATCTTCACATTACAGATGTTTGGGTAGAAGGGGAAGACAAGAGATACAGTTATACTCATTTTTGTCTCTTTATGAACCTGGATGGATGGGATTTGGGAGGGGAGACTCAGGAAGGTATCATAAAGGGAAGCGTGACAACCAATGACAACCCATACTAAATGGATGCCTGAATCAACTGAAGCTCCTCATTCTACACACTGATCAAAACGGAAATACTCTGGAGATTAGTAACTACAGTCCCCCTATACAAGTCAGTATTTTGAGTGTTAGGGAGAACAAATCAGGTTTTCTGGCAACAGAAGGAAAAATACATCGTAGGCATGACAGGCCATCAGAATAAAGCAGAACATTTAAAACTAGGGCATGAAGACATTCGTTTTGAACATCACCCTCATTCATTTCAACAGAAATCTGGAAGATCCAACGAATGAATGAGAGCGGTGCGGGGGTGGGGGGAGAGAGCCATGAGCAGCTCTGCCCCCCCACACACACATTCTGCTACAGTTCCTCTCTGGGGCCACCGTCCCACAAATGCCCCAACCACCTGGTGGGCATTCTGCTAACTGTGCATTATTCCACATCTAGTTCTTCATTATTACTGCACTTCTATCCAAACAGCAAGATGCTGGAACTCCATATGAATATGGCCCGAAGCATTTAACAGAGAAGAGTAAGACAGTGCAAGACCAGGTATTCTGCATCAAGCAGCCAAGCAACAGCCGTTTCAAAAGCATTTCTCAAGAGAATCCAGCTACGAACCTCCTCACTTTGCTGTAACAGCCATTCGGCATACTTCCAGACCAGTTCATGGTCCGAGCAGGAAGTAAGGAAGTCCACGATATACTCATAGAGGTCTGTGCGCGTGGAATCCTGGATGTCCCCATTGACAATTTTTACCCATAACTGAAGAAGAGAAGAAGAAAAGGTGTCAGAACCGCTCCTTGACAATTCACATCCTTTAAAAGCAAATGTATACTATTTAATACTATTCTCCCTCGGATTTGTCTGTCAACCTAAGTTTATCCTGCCCTCACAGACTTGGTAGGAGCCAATGGAAAGTGTTTCCTGGTTGCTATGCAAGTGCTGAAGGCTAGTTACTCCCTTTGTGCCAGCCGTGGAGCTCTTCATGGAGCACTACATGCTACATTCCATATGTGGGAAACATCCCTCCCGCCTCTTAGTGTTTAGAGACACTAACCCAAATTGTGCCATCCTTAATAGTGCATGTTCCTCTGCTCAGAACTGTTAGCTAGTGTGCCAGAAGACTGGGGGGGGGGGGCTGTCCATTCTGATGGCTCTCCTGCTAAACATAACACTTAGCTCCACTCTCATTCCAAGCTACGTACACTATTGCCTCCATACAACTTACTCAGAAGTTCAAGCCTTTAGTTGCTGCAATTCTGGTTAGACACCAACCAAAGCAGACAATAGGCGTGAAAAGAATGTCAGGGGAGCACCGTTCCATCTTGACCTCTAGGCTATTCACGTGTATATCCTAAATGTCTTTGAAATCATGTGGTGAGATTAGCTCCCCCTAGTCCATTTGCAACCTGCAGGAGCATTCAGGGGGGGGGGGGAATCTACAGTACAATCTGGAGATAATGAACTTCTATTTTCAGTGCAATATGCACCAACTATTCTGTATTATGGCTGGCTGGCTGTTGGCCTGTGTTGGCTGGAAGGAGGAGAAAATTTGCTGTAACAAGCTGGCTGGGTCCCGGGCGTTGGAGCAACATGTGTCTCAGCAGCGGGGCCAAAAGTCCACTTTCCCTCAGGGACGTCCCCTGCCTTCTGCAATCTGACTAGACTGAAGAACTTCCTGACGGTTGGAGTGGTTCCCTCAGTGGAACAGGCTTCCTCGGGAGGAGGTGGTGGGCTCTCCTTCTTTGGAGGTTTTCAAACAGAGGCTGGATGGCCATCTGACAGCAATGCTGATTGTGTGAACTTAAGCAGAGCCTGACAGGGAGGGCAGGAAGGGGTTGCATCAGGGCATAGTTCTCATGGCCCTTTCTTACACGCCCAGGGAAATGCTGATTGCCACTTTGGGGTCAGGAAGCAATCCTGGAGGGGTTTTTTTGCCTTCTTCATGGCAGCGCGCTGGAGGCGCCTCATCCCGCAGCGCAGGCTGGGCTGGGCTGGGCAGCGAGGGCGGCCATTTTCTGCTGAGATCCGCCGCCTAATGACAGAGCAAGCGGCTCCCGCTCCCCGGCGTCCTAAACAGAGTTACACTCTTCTAAATCACTGCTCTTCCACTTTGTGTAACTGTTTTAGCATTGCACTGTTCATCAGCTAGCCTAGATCTCTCCAACAAAAAGGCAGACCGGATATGTATACAGGCAGACTTCTTGAAGCCAGCCTGAACAGCTAGGTCAGGCAGGTCTCCCAAGAGGGAGAGGATGTATGGGGGAGGGGGAGGGGGGAAGTCGACTCTCCTTTTTTAAATGAAGTGACCGGGTCTTTTAGCTACAGAGATACAAGGGGAAACAATGCCTTGCTCCTGGCTCCCGGCTTCTAGTATTATGATCAACAAATGCGAAGGATTACTCACAAGCACTTGAGTGCTTACTGTTATCAGAACATAGATGTTTGCTTTTACACACTGACCTACAAAGATCACCCTCAATTCCTGGCTGCAAGGCTGGATTCAAGGGCGTGAGGGCCCCAAGCTACTCCTGTTGTAAATCCGTAACACAGGATAGCAAAGCAAGAGCCTTATGCAGTTTAGAGATCTGAGTTATGAGAGATGTGGCTTCAGTCTAACCTGCAGTGCAGCTGCATCTTGACCGTTTGAATGATACAGGAGTCCGAGTGCAAAAAATCTATAAAACGTGATATGAAACAAGCAAAAGCCAAGAATTACTATTTAGCATTTATCAAGCACCCGCATTTCTCCCCCACCGGGATCCAAAGTGCCTTAAACCATTCTTCTGTCCTCCCTTTTATCCTCACAACAATCCTCTGGGCCACGTGAGGAAAAAATGGCGGGGCTTCCCTGGCAGAGTGGAGATTCCTAGTCTGACACTGAGACCCCAACACCCCACTGGTTCTTAATGAGGCTCTAAAGGGAGGAAATATACAATGGGTTGGATCCAGCCAGCTTTTCTGCTCCGTCTTCCCCAATTCTCATCTTTACCCATGTCCCACATGGCTTCTGCCCAGGCAGGTCCCATAACCCCAATACACCCTTTTTAGGTGGTCCTCCTTTTGTCCCCAGCAAAAAATCCAGCGTAGGCCAGGGACCCCCAATCTTGTTGAGCTAGTAGGCCCTTTTGGATTTTTAGAACAGGTAGGGGGCACCACAGTAAAATGGATGCCAAAGAGTGTTGTGTATGGGGGGGGGGGGGGAGTGACCAACCACAAAATAGCATCCACGGGGGCTGGGGTGAGTCACAGAATTCTAGGAGGTTCCGAGGATCTCTGATGTAGGCAAAATGCTTACTTTTTGTGCTTTTCCAGCCACGTGGCACTATCTGTGAGAATACAGAAATTCTCTGAGGCCAGCAAGTCTAGAAGGCTCTCGTGATTGGCCTCCGCATAGAGCTTCAGTAAAGCCGTATCGACATCTTCCTTGTAGCCATTTGCGACATCAGTGCTGCGCACTTCGTTCAAGTAGCTCATGAGGAACTGCTTGCATTTGGCCATCTTCTCCTGATCCCCTTGGGTCAGCTGGTTTAAGTCGGCATATTCGTGGAGAGGAGGATGAGACCGGATGAAGGAAGAGGAAGCAGGCAACAGGAAGGGATAGAGAGAGATCAGCTCCCGGACATCAAGCTGGCCGCTTCTGCAATTACAGTGTCAAACTAAATGAAGCAAAGAGAAAGAAAAAGTATACAAGAGGCGCGCACACCACACATGCACCACACGTACACCCACACACAAAAGGAGGCCAGATTCTGTGAGCAGACTATAAAATACTCGGCCAACTCTAACACTGTCCTAACTAAGAACTTTAAAAAAACCCTTTATCATGAGAAATGTTATAAAACAAGTAACACTCAAGGAAGCCAGTTCTGTTCAATTGCCGTGCCACTTATAGATGCCAAAGAATAAGGCACAGCTTAATCCAGGACAGCAGAATGGGAAATCCTGCTAGGGTTTCCATAACAAGTAGTAACATTACGAGTCAAAAACATAACCTGGAAATCCCAGTGAAGCAGAAAAGGTGATTCCCACAACAGACAGCATTTCCCTTCTGCACGCAAATTGTTCAAAAGCATTCCATAACATTTTTGAGTGACCCCGAAAGTCTGCCAATAGCTGGAAAAGCCTCTCTCTGTGTGTGCGCGTGCATGTGAGTACCTGCATGGCTGTGGGTTTGTTCAGACCCCATGTAAGAGAAATGACATGTGAAATTCAGCGTATGTAAGCTAGGTGATGCGGGGTCCTTGCCTGGCGAGTAAGGAGGGGGCAAAAGAAATAAGGGCTGTAGGCTACTGAACAGGGCTATCTTTGGGCAGGAACGTACAGGAACGGAGTTCCGGCTGGCTCCTGAGCTGGCCACGGCCAGCAGGAACTCAACTCATTAGCATAATAGGCCACACCCAATAGCAGAAACTCATTAGGATTGGCTACATTAGGGGTGTGTGGCCTAACATGCAAAGAAGTTCCTGCTACAAAAAAAGCCCTGGGTTTTGTCAACAAAGAAGGTAAACAGAATAAGAAGGGAACGGTGGGTGTGGCTCGATGACCACACTTCTGGTAACATGGGGGTGTGGCCTGATGTGCTAATGAGCAGTGCGGTCAGGGTGTGGCCTAATATGCTAATGAGTGTTGCTGTTTGGTGTGGCCTATTATCCTAATGAGTTCCTGCTGGGCTTTTTCTACAAAAAGAGCCCTGCTACTGAGCCTTTGGACATTGGGCCCTATATGCGCACACACCGGTTACATGTTAGAGTCACACGTGGTGCTGAAGCTTGTAAGTCCCTAGTGCGGAATATACAGTTGTTCATCACATGGTGCTACGTTTGCAATTCAACAAAGCATTATTTGTGCTAAAAGTTTTTATTCAGTGTGGGATATCAAATGGTCAAAGATCAGGCACCCAAAGCACTGAAGTTCCTCAATGTTAATATCTAACTACACAACCTTTTTAAAAATGGGAATGTACAACATATGTAGTAACGCATGGACAGACTGGGGGAAATGTTTAAGCCATGGTGTTATGGCATCCGCGTTTGCTAGAATTTTGATTCGGAGCATTGTATTAAGCCTATTCCTAGGCAATCACAGCACTGGGCACCAGCAGTTTGTAAGTGCCAACATGATGAGCTGGGAATGAATGCTCAGAAAACAAACAAGCCCCCCCCCCCCCCGAATGTTGGCTGAAGAAGCTGGCAAAATGAGCTGACTTCAAATCAAGTCAAAAGGAACTGACCCATCACCAGTTAAGGATTACCTGAAAAGTTCTTTTGCTTCTAGGAACTGAAGCTGTGCAAACTGTATAAAGCCTGCTTGCTGCAGGATTCGCTTGTACATTACCTGCAAAAGAAAAGGAGAAGAAGGCATGTTTACTTGCAGAAACGACGACATATTACAGATTCCATCCACCAATGGGCATTTCAAGTCAGTGGCTAACTAGCCTGATTCCAGCTTCTGATTTACTCTCCACCCGTACTGCTTTAAGCAACATGCAGAATCAGAGAGCTAGAAGATGCCAGTAGACCCTGCAAGGCAGGTCTACCCATCAGCCTCCATTCTGTTTTTGGTGGGCTGCAAAAGGCAAAGCATAGGAGGACAGGACACCTGCAATGAAAATGGCTACAGATGTCTCAAGCAATTTACAGACCCATCTCCAGGATCACAGCTTCAAATGCAGTGGGATTCCTATAGAGAAAGACATTTCATATATGAAACAGGAAACGCCCCATGTGTCTAAACAGGTGTGCACATGTATTCTGCAGCACACATGGGTTATGGAAAGCAGTAAGTTGGTCATGGCATCTTAGCACAAGCATACTCCTTTCCTTTATCAAATAAAAGCTCTGTGATACACCGATCTTGAACAGTGGATAGTTGTTGTTAATCATTTATCACTCAATAGACAAAAGGAGTAAAAAAATTTTTGCAACTGCTAGAGTTCTTTTTGGATCCCTGTCAGAAAGTCAGTCAGTCATAGGAATATATGTCCGAATGAGCCTGCAAACACGGTAAAACAGAATGCCTCCGGAGATTAGCATACAAAGGACACTCCAGAGGGATATGTGCTATCTTACCTAAGGGGCAGATTTGTTCTGAACAGGGTAAACGCATGAACCTACCCCTCAAAACTGCCAAGGAGTGAGCACTTAGTTTGGCCAGAATGAACAACCTTAACAGGCTTTGGGAAGACAACAGATAGGTATAGGAGGGAAGAGATTTTGGAGGTGGAATACCAAAAAATTGGGATGAACAGGTACAGCATGCTCTAAAGGCAGTGCTTTGGTGATCGATTGATTTTACAAACATACTGCAAAATGTATGTCCTACAGTGTTCACCTCTGGTATGCGCATTCTCTCCTATGCGAAAGTACATTCCACATTACTCGAAGGCTGAACACAATTTACAAGTCAACTGCTTTGAACCAAGATATATCTCAAATTCACAGCAACACAATCTTCCCAGTTTTTATCTGGACACTCTTTATTTGACTAATTTGAACACAAGACTTACTGAACTATTTTTACATCTCTGCTTCCCCATCCTCTGAGGTCTCAGCACCATCATTCTCAAGACTGCATCAAATTCATAAATGCATATTCAACATTTATTAAGGGGAAAAAATAAACTTCCAGTTCTAAAAAAGAGGAAGTATCTGGTATCTTTTTATTCCACCCTTCCTGCAAGGAGTTCATTGTTCTCCCTTCCCTTTTCATCCTTACAACCATGTAGGTGGGAGACACTGAGAATCTGCACCTAGCCCAAGGTTGCCTGGTGAGCTTTGTGGCAGAGTGGGGCTCTGAACCCTGTTTTCACAGACCCTACTCTGACCCAGATTGCGAGATGTGATGGTACCACTTTACTCTGCTCTGGTTAGACCTCACCTAGAGCGTCGTTTTTTCGTGTTCAGTTTTGGGCACCACAATTTAAGAAGGATACAGGCAAGCTGGAACGTGTCCAGAGGAGGGCAACGAAGATGGTGAGGGGTCTGGAGACCTCTGAGGAAAGGCTGAAGGAGCTGGGTATGTTTAGCCTGGAGAGGAGGCGATTGAGAGGTGATATGATAACCCTCTTCAAGTTCTCAAAGGGCTGTCATATAGAGGATGTTTGGGAGTTGTTTTCTGTTGCCCCAGAAGGTCGGACCAGAACCAACAGGTTGAAATTAAATCAAAAGAGTTTTTGGCTAAACATTAGAATTTCCTGACAGTTCGAGTGGTTCCTACATGGAACAGGCTTCCTCGGGAGGTGGTGGGCTCTCCCTCTTTGGGGGTTTGCAAACAGAGGCTAGATGGACATCTGACATCAATGCTGATTCTGTGAACTTAGGCAGATCATGAGAGGAAAGGCAGGAAGGGTTGCCTCAGTGCTTAGTTCTTGTGGCCCTTTCTTACATGCCCAGGGAAATGCTGATTGCCACTTTGGGGTCAGGAAGCAATCCTGGAGGTTTTTTGCCATCTTCTGGGCGCGGAACAGTGGTCACTGCGGGTGTGGAGGGGGAAGTATTGTGAATTTCCTGCATTGTGCAGGGGGTTAGACTAGATGACCCTGGAGGTCCCTTCCAACTCTATGATTCTATGACCCCCCTGACTTCCACATCATGCCGCCTCTCCCTACATGAAAATTAGAGTAGACTCAGAGAGGAACAAAACTGAATGGAAATATCAAGAGATATTGGGGCTAGGGGTCATCACAGTAATTTTATAATCAGTTCAAAAGTAAGACTCTATCTTTTCTAAACAATTATAATTTAATTTGTTCAGTTACAAGACAGGAAAAAAAATTCAAGAGGCATGCAGATTGACTTTTATATCACTTCTATTCCAATGTTCAGTTGCAGAGACAACAACGTTCTTATCAACACAGGTTTGTTGGCCTCCCGTACCAGCCAGACCCTCGGGATATCTTTATTTGCCAGCAGACATGCTGATTTCTGTTGGATCAGCCTCTTTTGTATAATAATTTTTAAAACTGGATAGAGAAATTTAATTATAGCCTTTCCATTCATGGGGTGCTCAGACAGGTCATGGACTATATCATCTCCAAAATCTTTGAACTGCATCTTCATACTCCATAATTTCCATCCAACGCTGAAGAGGGAAATTGCTGAATTGCTAAAATAAATGTTTGGAACATCTTATTAAATAACTCTCCACACTTAAACTTAGCCAGCCTGTGTCACACTGCTGTTTTAACTTCCATCAGCAGCGACTGATGAATAAATATATCCTCCTTTTAAACCCTGTGCTTTGTGCTAACTGCTCAAGCCCAGCAAAATATTCTAAAAAGAACCTACACAAAACTAAACACTTTTTTGAACTTCCAAGAAAGTGGATCAGAGCAATATAAACTTATTTCTAGACAAAACTTTTAAGTCTACCATCATGCTAATAAATTTAATCCAACAAATAGCAACCGATACTTCTTAAATATCTTTTTATCTGAGGAAGGGGAAGAGCTGTACGTGACAGGGCCTTGACTTACCCCAATCCCGTGTTTTTGTTTACAAAGTCTTTACTGGGGGAAATGGCTGTTGCCACATGAGGCCGGTACAGCCTATGAAGAATATGCTATACTGTGGAACATGCTTATCAGGAGGTGTATCTCATCAGACTTAACAGGACCCGTTTCTGAACAAACATGACTAGGATCAGACAGTTAGTTAATGAACAGACTAACTTAAAAAAAAGAAGAACCTTCTTCACAGGCCATACACCAGATTCAGTTACACTTCCTAGACTGTT